TAGAATAATTTAGTATAAATAAAAGTAATTACCTATTTTGAGACATATATAATTAATTTTTGTATTTTTATAATATAAGTTAATAATGTTACATAAATAAACGACATGAAATTGATAAAATATAAAATGATAACAAATTATTCAAGAGACAGTTTATTTGTATTTCGTTGTTTTGGACTTCGTTCTGTCCTTATATACATCCCAGACAGCACTGGACATTCCAAGGATGTCCATTTTAAGTCCAATTCACGTCTGCATGTCCACGGACATAAAATGGACATCCATGTGATGTTCATTATTGGAATTAAAACGGATGTTCTATTCGGAATATCCTATGGATGTCTAATTTATGTCCGCATTTTATTCTTACTTTTGTAATTTTTCTTAATTACTTTTATTAAATATATTATTATTTACAATTGACATTTACAATTCTGTATTTTATTTATTTACAATAATGAAATTTATTCCAAGATTGTATAAAAAAATCTGAGTTTTTTAAAAAGTAATAAAATTATACTGCAGCAATTCTGAAAAATTCTGGAATCTACATAAAAATTTTGAAAAATTATGAGAAAAATTTTTATCAGTATTATAAAATTCTTCTCAAAATTTTTATGTAAATGTCAGAATTTTTCAGAATTTCTGTATAATTTTATAATTTTTTAAAAAATTCTCAGATTTTTTATATCTTAGAATTAATATTTTAGAATTCATATAATATATATATGCAGTGAAAAATTTTAAGAAAAAGCACGACTAGACATTCTTATTTCTAAAAAATGTTTCAATTTGTAAAAAAAATGTTTGATAAAAAATCTGAAAATAATTTTTATTAGGCAGATAATGAACAAATGATTTTGGTCCACTGAACTGGAGCAGCTTGCCGCGCGGCAAAATGCAATGCGATAGTCAACGTGTCGTTATACCGCATTGTATTTTGCCGCGCGGCAATCATTTCCGCGTCCAGAGGGCAGAAGCCTACTCGTGCATGCGCGCTACGTTGTCAAGTTATTACATTTTGGCGGCCAAACCGCTAAAACAAAAGGTGGATGACAAGAAGTATCGTTACGTACAGCACGAGACACGAGAATATATATTGTTGTTTTCTTTACTGAATGCAACGTGTAGATACGTGTTTTGCTAGACAAAAAAATTTCGAAGAGCAATCATCAACGTTATAACACGAAACTGTAAGTACATTTCTTTTATTTTTCTTTAGATTACGTAATCACAATTTATTTATGTCTACTTCCACTTTCCTTATTTTTAATAAAGGCTTGACAAAGCTCTTTGAGATACGCTTTATGTGTTACGATTTACCATGAGGTCCGAATCTCAGTTTTATGTAAAAATCCGATTGTTTCAAAATTTATTAATAATTTATTACATTCATATATACATAACCTTCATAACCTTTATATACATATACATTCATAACTTTTATAATGTTTCATTTCCCATCTATTGTCTCGTTACAGAGATACACGTTACGAGATTTGTAAATTTGTATTTAATTACCTCAAGATATTAGTTCGTTTCAAACAGATTTTCCAGTTTTAGTGAAGTAAAGAAAAGACTCACTAAGCAAGTATCTACAGGTATAAAATATCGTTACAAAATTGACTTTTTTAA